TCTGTAAACATTTCAAGAAGATTTTACGTCGAAGATATTCAAAGAAGCTTTCAGATTCTCTAGAAACTTGAATATAATTTATTGTCTGAAACAGTTCATTTCGTTTAGTTTACTGTAATCGTGAAGTGAGGAAATGTCTACTTAGTATATATTGCCAGCAGGGTTGGGCAAAATACTTAACTTACTGATGGCAGACGAGTATTAATGTTGTTGATAATGTTATCTTTCGAAATACAAACCTAGTATTTTTAAAAACTTTGTCAGTCCAACCTATTATAATGTCTTTTCAGATTATATATAACGTTCTTACAGCAAGGAATAGCCATATTTATAATCAGAATACTTGAAATAGACACTGAAAATGTACTATGACATAAAATTTGATGTTGTCAAAAGTTTGATTATATTCCTTAATACATTTTCCTAATTCATATACTTTTCTTATTTTAAATATATATTTTAAACTAAAACAGACCTTTAAAAACAAAAATGACCATGAATAAGAAAAGCTGGATTTCAAATTAACATCTTGAATTATCAGCGCATACATTTTAATTTAATATTTGGATTAATGAGTCAATTGAATCTACAACACCATTGAAAGCCTGCATGCACTGGATGGCCGCTTCTTCCTAATGTGGGACTCATCAGCAGTGCTTGTCCACAATCCCGCCTCCCATGAGATTCGAACCCAGGATCTATCAGTCTCGTGCGTAAGCGCTTAACCTCTAGACCACTGAGCCGGTCGGCATCCAACGGTGTTAATTTCTAACTTCAAGCAATCCAAGCAATTGCGCTACCGAGACTGGTAGGTCCTGTGCTCGAATCTCACGAGGCAAGGTCGTAGTTGTGCACTGCTGATAAGTTCCGTATTAGGACGAGACGGCCACCTAGTGGTTTCAAGTTTTCAATGGTAGTCTACATTCAATCGACTCATGAATTCAACTATTAAACTACTATAATATCTACATAACCCCTCTCTCAGTATACATTTTATTTTTATTTCATTAACGATGTTATTTCAGAATAAAGTAAACATAATTATATAGTGGTAACAAATTGTAAATAATTTTTAATAAAATTGATTTTACAAAAATGTTTATTATTACGTAATAAATTTAAAAATTATTGTTTAATTCTGATGGAGTTTTGTTCTTTGAGCTGGTTAGTTTGGTCTTGTTCAGAAAAGAAAACTCTCTCAAAATTATCTACTTGAGCTACAAATCTTCTACACCATCTCAATACTGGTTAATGTTTACAATTAGAAACTTTAAAAATTAAACTATAAATCGAATTGAATAAACAAATTAGCTTGATGTTGTTGTGTTTTTCTTTTTGATTAGGAAAATATTTTCCTATTTACAATTTCTTTGGAAAAATAAGTAATAAAAGTTGAAACATATCATGAAATCCCCTTACATTTTTGTTCTCATTAAAAACCGAAATAATTTTATACGTTGAACCTGTGGTGAGTGCTACTTATATTGACATAAGTAGTAGATGATGTTAGTCGTGAACAGAAGGTCTGGAAGCAGAGAGACAAGAGGATCAAACAGAAAAGAATGAAACCAAGATGCAATTTCTATGAAAATGCAAGAACAATGAATTCTGAGTCATTTTGAGACAATTGGTGGACATTTTGCAAATCAAGCATTTACTTTATGATTGTTAGATTTTATTAAGAAGTCCTGTTATTTTGTGTTAAATACATTCGACTCTGCCCACCCGTGTTCTGTTCACGGGTAAATCTAGCTCGTTTACTTTGAATATAATACTTTCTGATAATGTTAAGAATGTAAACTAGGAGGTACCCTTTTTTATTATTATCACTTAGCAAATAGTGAACTTGGTGTTGAATAGGAAAGATTGAGCCTTCAAATTTAATATATATTTTTAAAATGTGCTGTTTCAACTACGAATATAATGAAATCAGTATGTGGTAAAGGACTTTGGAGTACGTTTTAGGTCTTGTTCACTTTTTAGACGTTTTTCATCAACTTATTGAATTTTGATATATCAAAGGTTTTCAAGATGTATCATATATATGAAAAAAAGTAAATAATTAAAGAATCCTTCAGTAAATGAGACTGAAGGCCCTAGGTTCGAATCCCGCGAGCGTGCTCATGGATGCGCACTGCTGAGGACGAAACGGCCGCCCAGTCCTTTCAGGTTTCCAACGGTGATCTAATATCAATCGGTTCATGATCTCAATCGAAAACGTAATAATCTCCACAACCCCTATACTGGTAAATGCTCCAGTTATAAACAAAATATAAACTAATAATAATTCCATTCGTTTCCCTTAATTCATACTTGAACGCTTTAACTTTCATGCTTTTCATCAAAAATGTCCGCTTTAAAATTGATTGTTCAATCTTTAACAAATATGTAATCCTTCAGCTTATTTCAATCTTCTTTATATTTCTTCTCCGATTAATCATAATCTCTCTGTGAAAGAAAACAGTTTGTTATATGAACTAATCGAATCTTACATTCTAATTGATGTGATCGACTAGTACAATTTAATGATTTTAGTAACAGCTTGAAGCTTTCAAGGAACTCTTTAAGGACGAAACGACCGTCCAGCTTTAATTAACTCATGACCTCAACCGTTAAAATGTTAATTTAGAATAGAATAATTAACTATGTTCTCTTTGTATATAAATTTCTGAAGAAAAGTTGTAGCAACAAAAATATAAGCATTGAAGAACTGGAGAATTTCACACCGTAATCCTTATTGATTTTGAATAAACTGCAATTAAGATCAAGTATGTAATAATCATATTATTTATATTTATATTTATTTAAACACATAAACATTGGTACAACGAGGCACCAAATAGATATGCACTACTTAAATCATTCGACTTATGTGAAGGCTGAGATACTGGCAGGTTGCTCAAACCAGAGCAGGTGGTTTCCTTGGGAGGCACACCTGGAGCCTTCGAACTAAATGTCTAATCCACAAGGCAGCGGAACAACATCAGGAGATGTAGTCCCATAGTAGCCGGTCACCAACGATCGGTTCATACTTTATTTATTCCTTCAGGATACTGGAGCCCGTATGCACCATTGGTTTTGAATCAGGGTTTTCCAGCTCTCCTAGATAGAACCTCGATTTCCACCAATCCGCTTAAAGCGCCGGACATTTGCTTTCCGTCCTCTCAATTTCGTTATCAACAGTAATGCCGCAGTGAGTAAGACTTCTCTGGCAGTGGTTGTATGCATGTGGCCATGTGAGAGCATTTCCAGAGGGGGGGGGGCTGACTTCCCTCACTCTCTGCTGTACCAATACAAATCATATTAATTAGTAATAACTATTATTTTGCTCGATTTTTTAATTATTTTAATAGAAAAAAACACTGTTTATTTATTTCATTGTCTTTCAAAACGTGATATTATCAATTTCTTCATTTATGAATTCTATTCCAGTATTTAAATTTTAAAAAAGATTATACTATTTGTTACTATAGTGATAAAAAACTAATCACTAGCTAAATAAGATGTGTACACATAAACTTATCCGAATAATAATTGTGGTTAAATAGTTTATGTACAAATAGTTTCATAGTGGGAGATTAATTTACGTATAATATTTTCATTATATATTCTCTGATAGATTTCTTATTGCTTAGTTGTACTGTAGTGAACAAAAACACCAGTAGGGACAGTCGAATGTATTTAACACAAAATAACAGGACTTCTTAATAAAATCTAACAATCATAAAGTAAATGCTTAATTTGCAAAGTGTCCACCAATTGTCTCAAAATGACTCAGAATTCATTGTTCTTGCATTTTCATAGAAATTGCATCTTGGTTTCATTCTTTTCTGTTTGATCCTCTTGTCTCTCTGCTTCCAGACCTTCTGTTCACGACTAACATCATCTACTACTTATGTTAATATAAGTTGCACACACTACAGTACCTTTGTTAAGTTTGTTAATTTAATTTCAATACTGATTAAAATATTTAGAATGAATTTCTTAAATCTATAGCAGTTTTTAAAAATGTCAACTCCTTGTGATGTACACATTCATAAAATATGTCAACGAAGTTTGGTTTTTTTAAAAGTCTGGTTTCTTTTCTAAGTTTCAATCTTTATGAACAAACTTTCAAATGTTGTTTTAACACTAAATAGAAAGATAATGTTAGGTTTTTAATCAATAAGAGAGATGATAACTGAGATTGGATTACCATTTATGAAATAACTAATTCAAAAATATGTCATGATAGTAAAACAAATTCAGTATTTGAAATACTTAATAAAAGATCGTTTTAAACATCTTTATTGATCAGCTTTGATAATTTACATCTTATACAATAAAAGAACAACCTACTATAATGAAGTTAAAAACAAAAGACAATTCAATCTTGGAGAAAAATAACTTAGATTATTATCAAACTTGGTCTGAAAACAGACATAACGGATGGGTTTTTTTTAGATTTCAGTAACTATGTGTTTCCCAGAAGAAAGACAAACTCTTTAAGTTTCATACATAGTATCGTCTGTAACTAAAATGTTGAAAGTAAACATTATTAATCATGTAAATAGACAATATAGAACTATTAGTATTTATATATTAGAACATTCATCTAAATAATCCATCAGACAGAATAGCCATCAAACGTTTGGCAAAATAATGTCTATTAAATAACAATATATTAAATGCTAAATGTTGTCGGAAGTGAATGGATATGTAAATTTGTTTAAAGCCAAAAATATGTAAGTATATATCTCATCAATGAATATGAAAACAATTGATGAAGTTAGTAGTTACTTTAAGATAGTCCTAATCTTTAAGAGTATTCATAGTTGCTATTTTGTATTTCAGATACTCCTGTTATCTACATTTATTACAACCTTGTTCTAGTGTTATTCATATCGATAAATAACTTAAATATCCTCTGATTGTATTGTTCACTTTTTTTAAAGCAAAAAGGATTATTATTGAAATTTGTTATCGTTTATGTCTCTTTATTGATTTCTAACATGTAATAGGTATGTTACTTGGAGGATTGTTCCTGAGAAATATTGGTGGACTTTTGATTCCGGAACAGATTTACCATACAGGTCAATTACCAAGTGGAAGTGTTCCTTATGGATACAATTCTGATTTATTGAATTCCACTTCTTACAATGAGAAGGAATATCCTTTTAATATAACTGATCCACGTACTCAGTTTGCTGCTCTTTTACTAGTAAATCCAGTTTTATCTGGAATTTTAAGACAACTTGCTTTGACTACAATTCTAACTCGGGCTGGTTTGGGTCTTGATCCTCAAGCATTGAAACAAGTATGTGGTAGTGTATTTCGTCTTGCATTCATACCATGCCTTACAGAAGCGACATCTTTGATGCTATTTAGCCGTTTTTTGATTGGATGGCCTTGGTCATGGGGAGCTATATTAGGGTAAGTGTTAATTTTTTGTATTAAAGTAAGGTAGATATGTAAATAATTTGATAGATTTCTTGTGAGCATTTGTCAAGTAGTCAATAAATTTGTTGCATGAAAGTTTGTGTTGACCATTATACTACCTATAAAAGTTAACCTAAAAAATCAATTAAATTTTCTATGAAATAAATTCCCGTAACATAAATATTGTAAATTATTTATTGGTTCAGTAATTCTTTGCCAAAGCTTGTCAAACTTAAAGTCCTTGGAATGGCTGAAGTAGTAGCCATTTGGGTTAAGAAACTGGAGCGTTGTGTACAAAAGAAATATCTTCGACCACTTCTCCTCGCCTGGCCAACCTCGTGGCCAATTAATCAATAGTAATCTTAGCTATTGAATGACCTAATTACACTATTGTATTTACGACATTTCGTAGTCAAATGTAATTGTCTGTTATCATTATCCACAAATCTTTGTATGATTATTATTATTATTATTACCATTATTGTTATTATTATTACTATTAGTTGAACATCATTATTAATCTCCCCAATACATGATTCATTTACTTAGCATTCATTCCATCTTACTATGTCTTTCTAATAATTTTGTGCACTAAGTAGTCTTTCACTAAATATTTGATAGAATTGTAATTGCACTATTATTTTTCTCACCCTATCTGACCCATATTTATTCTGATCACTTAGTCTGGATCACTTAACATTTTCGTTTAGCATATAAGCTGATTCAAATTAACATTCCATACGGGTCATACAAAAACCGCCGTGCGTTTAATGATATTCAACATTAACAATTTTATTTTATTTTAAATTCACTTGGTATTGTTTGCTTGTATATTCCTATTGTTGCTTAGGGCTGCAATTGATCAGTCCCTTATTGGCATATGTGCATCCTGTATCGATTGCCTCGATGTTGCCTTAAATCACAAGTATTATAGGTAAAGATGGATAGTGGCTAGCAGTGGAATCCAGGACACGTGTTTTGTCCTATTTGGAACTCGTCAGCACGATGTACGTGCATTTCAGTATTGATGTTCACTCCGGTACTCAATACCGTTCGCTTCAAACGCTATCGCCTCATCCACTTAGCTATTCTATTTTGTTTGACAATCCTAAATTCACATTCTCTAACTTAAACGATGCATTCACCCTTATTCTGGCCATTTTTCGGATTATTAATTTGGATATATAATTGTAGAACCTGAAAAGAATTTATCGAAAAGAATATTCTTCGTTCAAATATCGGTCGTTTAATATGATGACGATCATTAAACAAACAAATATAATTAATTATGCTATAAAAAGCGAATTAAGTTTTAACTTTTACGATAAGTAACTGAACATATATTGCACTCAATATCTCCTTACTATTACCGAAAAACGGATCATATAGATATTCACAGTTGTTCAAGTTAAAGATGAGCAGAATATATGAAAGATGAACAATAAGGCAACATTTAGTTGGGAATCGTGTGATTATGAATTGTGAAATACAGGTACATCCAGCCGACGAGTCCCAAATAGGACAATACACGCGTCCTGGAATCCACTGCAATCCATCATCCACCTCTTCTTATATATACAAATATGTATATAAATATTTATAATATGAGTACTGCTGGAGATTCCTCAGTTGAAGTGATCTTCAGTCTCTTTTACTTCCGTGTTTCTGGTATCATACCGATTATTATAAAATGGAGGTGATTTCTATAGTTTTTTCGAGTAATTAAACTTGGTTTACTTTTCGTTGTATGCGAAAGCAAATGATGTAAATATCCAACAGTTATCCCTTGATACTGTAAACAACGGAAAGCTGTGAGAACAACGTCTATGTTTCAGAGATCAAGTCTCTTATAATATTGTACTTCATTGTTTTCTTAAAAGAATCCAGTTTCAGGTCAGACGGCTATCAGAAATTCACAAAATAGAAAGCAGAAAGTATGTTTTTCATCACTTTGACATGAATACGCAAACTACACAGTTGGATTTTTCAACATTTGAAACTGGAGGGATTTACGTTTGATATCATTAAGTTACTTGTTATTAACGTAATAGTAGAATAAGATGATCACAGAATGTTACTTATTAGCCATAAACCAAATGTTCAAGAAATTTGAATTCTGAGAATTTTTTTGGATATCACAAATTAGTTAAAAAATGAAGAAATATCAGGGACATAAGCCTTTAAGAGACACAACCCGGTAATTCATCATATTCTTCAAACATAAAATTTACTTTAAAAGCATGCAATCATTTACACTGCTTGATCAAAGACTGATGAGAAGAGTAATGTTTGTTTAGTTCTGATCAATTACCACTAATTAATCATGTATTTGATCACTGATCTAAGTGACTTAATATCTTGTGCACAATTTTTTTGAAATGTTAGGTGATTATCGGAGGGGAGGGGGTATAGTGAACGATAACACATATAGAGACAACTGAATGTAACCAAATACAAAATTACAGAATTTCTTGATAGAAATCTATGAACTCATACAATAATAATCCATCAATGAAAATACAAAAAAACAAAACGAGAAATATAAGTATCTGAGTAATAGTGGTTATCGTTATAAAATAAGAATTATCAGTATGGGGGTTGTGAAGATTGTTAAGTTTTTGGTTGAGATCTCTACAACCCCCATACTGATAATTAACATGTGCTTACTGGTGACTAGCTTCGTGAGGGAATTCTCGGTGTTCTAGTGAGAAGCCATGACTAGTGGAGCTAATCCGTGTCGGGTAGAGACAGGTATCTACCTCAGTACAATGGAAGATGGTCGAGCAATTTCGTGGATTGGTTGATGTTAGACACTAACACCATTGGATACCGGCTCAGTGGTCTAATGGTTAAGTGCTCAGGCGCGAAGCCAGTAGGTCCTGGGTTCGAATCTCACGGGGTGCGGGATCATGGATGCGCACTGCTGAGGAGTCCCATACTAGGACGAAACGGCCGTCCAGTGCTTCCAGGTTTCTAACGGTGGTCTAAGATCAATTAATTCATGATCTCAACCAAAAACATAAGAATTGTTGGTTTAAAGTACACATTAAGAAATTTAATTGTTTATTGAATATAACTTTAAAGAAGCACAATAAATTAGAATTAATTTAATTTATTAGCCATTTTAAATCATTTAGAACATCATTATGAAGTCTCCTATCTTCTAAATAATCATTAAACATACTGGTGAAGTGTTACACTATCCTACTAAGTGAATATGTTAAGAGCTGATGGAAAACACATAAATATTTGTCTTTTCATCTACTAGAGTATAGAGTTTTGAATGTCTATGTGAAATTACTGATATAATTGTATGTAAAAGAAAAAAAAACTAAGACATGTTTAAAAAAGAGTTATCCCTTGATACTGTAAACAACGGAAAGCTGTGAGAACAACGTCTATGTTTCAGAGATCAAGTCTCTTATAATATTGTACTTCATTGTTTTCTTAAAAGAATCCAGTTTCAGGTCAGACGGCTATCAGAAATTCACAAAATAGAAAGCAGAAAGTATGTTTTTCATCACTTATAACCAGTTAGGTAAAGGAATAATCACCATCTTTATAAACAAAATATAAATGAACTATGACATATTAGCTGTATCACATTACTAATCAACAGATTTCTCTCTCATTATTATTTATGAATCTTAATGGTTATCTATTATTTGATGGTCTGTTTATAAGAAAGGGAATCTTTCCCTTCTTATGTTTTATATTGAATTTTATGCGTTGATTTTATATGAAAGACATTCAAAGTTCAAATAGAAAATTAATGGATAATAGACAATATCAGTGTGGAAAGTTAACTCTTTCCATAAACTGTTCCGAGATATGATAAAGAGATGATTCAAACTGAAATTCATTCATCTTTAATATTAAAGTGATTAAGTGATTCTTCAAGATTTATTTAGATAAAGGGTGAAAATTAAAATTTCAGTAAGTAAGGGGATCTAAATTACTTCTAAAAGAATATCATTCAATTAATAGAAATATATCATATTAATCATAGAGTAAACATCTACAAAACCCCTTCTGATATGAATCAACATATGCTCACTGGTGATTGGATTCAAGGGGTATATACTGGAGTTCTAGTAAGAAGCAGTGACCAATGCAGTTCAACCTAGTCTGTTGTGAGATAGTAACTCACGGATGATAATGGTGGATGTGTCACTCAATTTCATCAATTAGTTGAAGTTAGACATTAACACCGTTGAATACCGACTGGCTCAGTGGTCTAGTAAATAAGCATTCGCACGCGAGACCGATAGGTCTTGGGTTCGAACCTCGCGAGGGGCGGTATCGTAGGTGTGCACTGCTGAGGAGTCCAACAATAGGACGAAATGGCTGTGCACTGCTCCGAGGTTTTCCATTGTGGTCTAGCTTCAAATAACTCATAATCTCAACCATTAAAAAGAATTAAAATCTGTTTAATGTTAGTTCAGAACAATGTGGGTTATTAAATTATTTATAAATAGACTCTTTAAGTAATCTTAATGTGTACTGAAGCGTGAGGTATATCATGTTCTAGTTATAGTCACAACTTTATGAATGACTGAAATCTTTGACAAAGGTTATTATAAATAGTCATATATATATAATACACCCACGTAATATTCTAATGTATCGGTTTATGCAAATTTACTTCCTTTGATTGAATATAATAAAAATTCTTTATAGTTTTAGAATGTCATATCTTTCAATAAATGTTTAACCACCTACAGGGAAAATTCATTATAAAATGTATCAATTTTGTCATTTATCTATTTCCTTTAGTGATAAAGATTTGTAAATGTGTTCTAAATCATTAAGTGTAAGTCATTATATGGAAGATGAATATGATTTAAGTAGTATATAACAAAAAGTAGTATAGAGATGATTTCAACAACATGCCATTTCTATCTCTATATATACATACATCTATAACATTTGAATGAAAAGCCAGAATAAATCAAAGATTAGCTAAATCTACTTGTGATTTCATTCATCATAATTTATTTTAAACAGTAACGGAGTCAAAATACTAGACTACTGAATCTACTTAAGTTTCTTAGTATTTATTGATAATGCAGTTTAATAGTAGCTAAATGATCCAAAGCTGGTTTCGTCCAACTCGAAGATCGTCAGCTGGATGCAACTTCATCCCATAGTTGACATTCACTCTGAGACTGGAACTCAGTGTGTGTATTTCATCCCATTTGAATGCATATATGCCAATAACATACTAATCAATTGTAATCTGTAACATCAATGGGAAGATTTAAATAACAAATCTAGAATGGAAATTTAATTGTAGTTTACACATAGTTGACCAAGAATTTTTAGCTAATTAATCTAATCAGTAATTATGTAATATTATTACATAATCAGTTTGTAAAATAAGTCAGCTATTTTGTTCATCTGTTTTAGTATTGTTCATAATTTACCGATGGGTCCCGGGCTCGAATCCCGCCAGGAGATGCTCATTGCTGAAGAATCCTACAATGGGACGAAATGGCCATCCGGTGATTCGAGGTTTTCCATAGTGGTCTAGCTTCACTTGATTCATGATCTCAACTATTGATATTCTAAAATATCTTTCATTACCAAACATTTTAACTTTTGATACTTATAAAGTCATTTGTTAATTTGTTCAAAACCACCTCCGTATTTATTTTTACAGTATAATTAGCAACTATTTTTTATTGGAATCACTTAAGAAAAGGAAAAAGAAGCCAGTTTTACTATCTATATCTGTTGATATGTATAATAGATAATCTATATATATATCTTTCAAATTATCACTTAGCAATAATAATAGAACAGATAATTTAGCCAATTAAAACTTTCATTATGAGTAAAAATAAAATCAAAATAGTGTATAGAATAATTTTAAAAGATTGATATATATATATATATATATATATATATATATATATAAGTTCACTTTAACATGTACATATATCATTTGTAAACCCTCTATCCAATGTGTTCACCTATCACTGGCTATGTAAGTTTTCTGAGGATTCTTTTTTTGGTTTTTGACAAATCAACATTTCTACATTAGTTTATATTTAATTTCTTTAGAGATAGTTATTACAACAATTGAGATCATGAGTCGATTGAAGCTAGACCACCATGGAAAACCTCGAAACACTGCATTACCGTTTCGCCCTATTGCGAGACTCCTGAGCAATGCACATCCACGATCCTGCCTCGAGAGATTCGAACTCAGGGCTTATCAGTCTTGCGTCAGGCGCTTATTCATTAGACCACTGAGCCAGTCGGCATCCAACGGTGTTGATGTCTAACTTTAAACGACTCACGAAATTGAGCGACACATTCACCATTGTCTTCAGTGAGTTATTATCTCACAACTGATTCGGTTGAACTCCATTGGTCACTGCTTCTCACTAGAACTCCAAGAAATACCTCTTGAAGCCAGTCACTAGTGAGCATATGTTGATTAGTATCAATTGACTCATGATCTGAACTGTTGAAATTACTACAATCTCCACAAAACCCCTTCAGATAGTTATTATTTAATAATAAATCAATTTCATTAAAAAGTCAATTAAAATTAATTATCACTTCTTATAATCTAGAAATTCATAAATAGTTTCGATTAACTAATTATGTTATTTAATAGTTGAATTCATAAGTTAATTAAAGCTAGACCATCACTGAAAACCTAGAAACATTGAATGACCGTTTCATCCTATTATGGGACTCCTTAGCATTGAGCATCCACGATCCAACCTCGTGAGATTCGAACTCAAGATCTATCAGTCTCTCTGAAGAGTTCCATACTAAAACAAAACGGCTATCCAGTGATTTCAAGCTTTTCATGGTAGTCTAGCTTCAATTGACTCATGAATTCAACTACTAAATTACTATAATATCCACATAAACCTTTCTCTGATTATAATTACATTATAATGACATTATGAAATTGTTATAACTTGTGGCCTGTGTGTCCTGTTAACGATAACGTAATGATACCGCCAATTAGAGAGCAGTGAATAATCGATCGGACCAATGCCGCGTAAAACCCGTACAAACAGTCTAGAGTCCTGATTGCTCCTGCTTTCCGCCTAGCCCACCCAGTTAAGTCCAGAACACCAATCTCAGCCTCTGCAATATAAATCATTTATTTCAAGCATACTGGTTTTATATACCAACTAGAAAGACCACATCGTACCATAAAATATGAAACAACATTTGTACAAGATTTAGTCAAATGTGGCTGTGAACATGGGAGGTAGCAATCAATAGACAGGAAATAATTCAATAATGGTAAATCGTAAAATAATAGTTCATAGGTCAAAATAAATCTCATAATAAGAAGGACATGAATATGAATAGGTTAGTTATATAACAGTTATAAGATAAAAATATACGCATAGTATTGGTTTATAAATGGATCCCAAAAGTTGCCAATCCTTATTCTTATCAGGACATAACAGATATATTATTGATTAGGTAATGAAATTTTCTTTAATTTTCCTAATGATTTCATTTTAAAAAATACTACAAGATTATATATTTTCATAAGATAATTAATGTGATGATTAGTTGTTGTTGCGTTAGTATCTATGCGCATATTGAGTAAAACTCCATGGAATGAAGTTTATAATGATGGGTAAAATAGATAATTAATAAATGAGTGAAATATTGATATATGTGAGATATATGATATCAATAAAAAAACTACGTGATAAGTGATTTTGGTGCAACCTTTAAAGTTGATTAATGAAGACTATTCAACATGCTACTAGTAGTTGATTGACGGTGATCAGATAATAATAATAATAATAATAATAATAATAATAATAATAATGGAATAAATAGAATGGGTGAATGTTAACGGAATATATTCGGATGTAAGACAAATTAAGAAGATTAAGAAAATATATGATGTTAAGATAGAAGTGATAATAATTATATATTATTTTCTTGATTGAGATCATGAACCGATTGATGTTAGACCACCTGGAAGCACTGGACGGCCGTTTCGTTCTATTATGGGACTCCTCAGCTGTGCGCATCCACGATCAGGATCGCGGGATTCGGATCCAGGGCCTCCAGTCTCGCGCGCGAACGCTCAACCTACTGGAACACTGAACTGGCATCCAATGGTGTTAATGTCTAATCTCAATCAAAAACTTAACAATCTCCACAAACACTAAACTGATAATTATCTGTTAAATAAATGAAGAAATAGAATATAATAGAAAATATAGAAATATGGGGAAAACTGGCATATAAAAAGTAAATAGATTTGATAAATAAATAATACAAAAAAATGCAAAAATGAATTGAAACTTAACCTCTTTGCACAACCAAGCGGCTATCAAGATTCGGTAGCTAGGTGGATATCATGATGGTGTTTAGAGCGAATGTTACTGCGTTCGAATCCCACACTGGACATTAACCCTAGGATGCAGGTACATCCAACTGACGAATCTCAAATAGGACGAAACGCGCGTCCTAGATTCAACTGTGAGCCACAATTCATCTTTGCTTAGATCTGACAAATTGGTTTTGTACACATGAATGTGGCTCCATAATGCCTATTAACAATTGTTCTGTGATACAGAAGAGACGTGTCCAAACACTTTTCTAAAAATTCGGTTCAGATTTATTAATGATACAAAATCTATAGTTCAATACTTCATGATCATAGTCGACTGTTTATTCCAGAGCATATTTTATAATTATACGTAGTCCTTTACTTGGCTAGATGACGTATTATGAGACAGTTTTTATAAACACCCTCTATGGAACAAATAAACTTGTCTGTATTTGGTCAAACTAAGTAAATTGAATTTACCGAGATGTCCATCACTGGGTTGCTAGAGTAGAACACCTGCAATAAAGTTGTACAAACGTTTTCCACTCATAGCTAGGTCATTTGACATCATAGGATTTTATCCTCGGTATTACGTTCAAATCCCATAACAGTATATATGTTCTTCTATCTTTTCATGATTTTTAAATGACTCCTGTTTCATATTTATTTCAGTCAATAAAAAAAACTAGCTTCTAATGACTAAAGTTTCCCTTCTATTCTGCTTTCTGTGTTTATATTTATGATACATGAGGTGGGGGAATAAATGAAATTTTTCTCTGTTCATAAGGCTAAAGCAATGAAAATTCATTATCTGTCCATTCTACGTAGATTTATCATGAATGAACCTGTTTATAATCTAAACGTTTCTCCTTTCAAGTAGTATGTCTAGAAGCGAGATCTTGAAATTTACTTTTTTTCTTCTAGAGGGGATTCAATGGATAAATGACAGTCATTTAAACGTTTCTATCATATTAATTATCTTCAATAAAAACGATTAAACAGTTTTTGAAAGTGAATTCAATGCAGGAAAAATTTTCATTGCTGACAAATGTGTTTGGTTTACTTAATAGCGAATAGATAATTATTCAGTTAAATATAATCTTACTATGTTTATGGAGCATCTCATTCCTGTTAGTAGGAAAATTAGAAGTTAGGGTTAGTGATTAGAGTTTCCATAAATTAACACCATCTGTAATGCCGAAATAGCTGTTTTACCGCATAGATGAATTAGTTTTGTTCTAAAATCCAAGACCTGCTATCTTAAATCTCATTGTTTCTCCCTTTGTGTGAGTTCATCAGATATTCTCCTAACTATTTTATGCAGCATATTTTTTACAAGACAAATGAGACTATTTGTTTAAAATTAATAATAATTTACTTGTCATTTTTTATAACTATAGATTCGTTTGTGCAGCTGTATCACCAGCTGTGATAGTGCCAAATATGATGCGCCTGGAAGTTACAGGGTGGGGTGTAGCTGAAGGTATACCTACCCTTGTTGTTGCTGCTTCCAGTTTAGATGATGTTGTTGCGATTACTGGATTTGGTGTTGCCCTCGGTGTAGCTTTATCCACAGAAAAAAGTTTAGTGAATACATTATTTTGGGGACCACTTGAAGCAATCATAGGTGCTTCGTTTGGGGCAGCAGTGGGAATATTATTACTTTTCTTTCCACCACCAAAACTCGTAAGTCTTCATCAATAATTTAAATTGCAACCTTTACCGTTGATCTTTTAACAGTATTGATTCTTTGTGTGGAAGTGAATGACTGAAACCACTGCAAACATATGATTGAAAACAAAGATGAGAGTTTAGATTATGGCTTTATTATTTTGGCCTTGGTACCTTAGTTGTGAGACATGATGTTATTGTATTCAATAACCAAAGCAAAAGCCGCATTTCCAGGTAGAAATCATATGTATTTGAAAAAAATACACGTAAGAAGCAGTAGACGAACTAAAGCTTTAGTAGTGAAGTATAAAATCATAAAACAGAAAACAGTTACCAGTTAACTATTCACTTGACACTTCTAAAATAATGAGAATACAATCGTAACTATCTCCTTTGAATATGTAAAATATTTGATAAAGAGTAATCAAAGACTTACCATGATTAAGATCAAATAAGAAAATCGTCAACGGTGTAATAATCTTCCTAAGCTTGTGGATAAATACCTATTAGAGTGTCAGTTATGAAAAACATTTATTAGTAGTTTCGAACAGATCTGGCCTTATAATTACTTTTCCAACTAACCTAGGTTGAACCGATGGTCTGTCATGAATGCATATCAGTAATAGAAAGATTCATGTTGACTAAACATATGTTTTTTAATATTTCAGGAGCATTCCCATTTCATTCGAGGTATACTTCTGGTGTGCTTTGCAATAACTGGGTTAATCGGTTCGGTCGCAATACATTTACCAGGTGGAGGTGCATTGTCATGTTTAACTTTAGCTTTTATCGTGGCATCTGGTTGGCGGAGCGGATTTCCATGGCGTTTAACGCAGTCAGCAAGTATACCAACGGAATCATCATCAAATAATGCACAAAACCAAAATTATGAAAATTCAAATTATCAAGCGAAACCAAAAACAGATAAACCTAATCTGTCTTCGTCAAGAGATTCTGTCCTTACTAATGAAGACTCTCAAGAAAACCTTAAGATAGCCCCCTCGAAGCTTGAATCCATTGATGAAAAATATAGGCATTCTGATGATGATATTGACTCAGAAAGTATGATGAAGCATCAGAAAGATCTAAACAATCCAAACATACTTGAATCGTTGGTAGAATTTCATCCTTACTATTGCTCAATTTTGCGTCAGCAGTATGGCCAGCATTCATCGGGTGAACATAGTAACCGCAGCAGCCTCCGTAATCGCCTCCCATCTGATGGTGACAGGAAACGAGGAGATCTTCCTTCTTTAGCTGTTGCAGTAGCAGCTACTGGTAATGAGAAAAAAGTAGAGGGATCTTTAGCCAAACAACCTCAACAGAATAGTTACCAGCAACAGACTCAGCAAACATCGACAATCGCTTTTCAAAAACCAAAAGCATCTCGAAGATTTAGTCTGCCTGAACCTACTGCTCACTACGAACTGGAATCATTTTCCGTGTCTCAGCAGTTTCGCCGAGGAAGGAGTCCATCTAGTGCAAACGCTTTACGTCATATGAACAGGTCAAGGCGTAGAATTCGTAAGTTGATATGATATTGTATGATTTTCGTCACAATGTTTTTAATAATTAAGACTAATTTAATGTATATCGCATCAAATATTTAATAAATAGTGTTTTATTTTTGAAGTTACTTAAATCTCATTTCTGTAGTGATTAATTATGTTACCCTAACATTTTTGACTAGTTGCACCATTTCCGGATCAGTACTCACCATTTTACAACAACCAACCGGTCGAAAAAGTTGAAGAAGTTGAAGAAAATGATGAATGCTCATCCAACGAAACAGAAAGACCAGATGATGATCATGATGAGAACAATTTTGACAGTCCTAATAATCAAGAGCAACCTTTCAGTGATGTTGTTGTTCCAGCTACACCTGTTGAACGTGGATTGGCTTGTTTGAATTCAATGAGAAGAACCATGGCAGTCACATGGTGGTTTGTTCAACCTATTCTGTTTTCTTTAATAGGATCAGAAGTAGACATACTACATATGCCTGGTGGTTCAACTGGTAATTTTCTTGCTTATATTATTGTTATATATTTCGAATGAAAGTAATTCTATTAAAGTGTACATATTCATTAAAGTTAGATTCTTGATGATTTTAGTTGTACTGTTTCAGTATAATGTAAGGGTTTTGATCCTTAGAACCTACTCCATAATAATACTGAAGATAATTTATTGCATTGTCTGTATTTCTCGATGTAGGTAATGTTGTGATATGCGGTGTCTAGAATGTGATAATGATATACGGTGTGCTATGCGCTAACACCACAACTGGCTACTTGAGCAAGAAAGTGCATTGGACTAGCGAATGAAATGCACAAATACTCATATATATATATATATATATATACCGCTCTATCCTTAGGAAATTCACTGATTGATTCCAAAAGAATGCACTTGGCCATTATGTTAATTCTGATTGTCATCGATTGACCTTTACATTAGGCTACTTCTTATTGGTTCTCCATATCGGGCAAATTTCGCAGTGTTCCATTCAGTAGACATTTAAAATACAACAAATATGCAAAATAAATTTATGTTATTATAATTTACTTAAAAAAAATACAGTAAAAAAATAAACGAAATTTCGAGTCACAACAGTTAAACTTATAAAATCTAGGCATCAGTAAGTTCTCTTTTTTTCACCTTTACATTTATAACCGATTTCATATGTATTGTCGAGATAAGTAAAGAATCTGAGAAAAGCTCATAAAGTTTACTACCATAGCTACTTTGAAAAATCAATATTTGTAGAGATTACTAAGTTTTTGATTGAGATCATGAACCAGTTGATGTTAGACCACCATTGAAAACCTGAAAGCAATTGACATCCGTTTCGCCCTATTATGAAACTCCTCAGAAGTGCGCATCCATGATCCCGCTCTCGGGATTCGAACCTAGGGTCTTCAGCCTCGCGTGTGAATGCTTAACTTCTATACCATTAAGCCGGCATCCAACTGTGTTAATGTTTGACCTCGACTAATCCACGAAATTGCGCAACCATCTTCCATTGTACTGAGGTAGATACCTGTCTCTATCCGACACGGACAAGCTCCTCTGGTAACAGCTTCTCACAAGAACTCTGAGGATCCCCTCACGAAGCTAGTCACTAGTGAACATTCCATTGTTTTGAGTTAATATTCAATTTTAGTGATATGGAAGTTGATGAGAAAAAAAATTCTCTTTATATTAAACTAACAATCAGTTTATAAGAAACTGTCGATCATCTGTTTGTGATTTGTAATGTATAAGAAATTAACCATAAAAATAAATTATTCGAAATCTTTTATAACAAATCAAGGTAAACTGATATCCTATTCGAAGTAAAGATAGATAGTGGCTAGCAGTGGAATACAGGACGATCGTTTCGCCCTGTTTGGCACTCGTCAGCTGGATACACCTGCAATCCAGAGCTGATATCGACTCCGTAACTTGAAACCAGTATCATTCACTTTAGACGCGATCGCGTTCTCCACTAAGCTACTGAGTCTTAATAGCTACCTGCTTGTGTGCTGGGGTAAAGTATAAATTCACTTGGTGTTGTTTTACTTCTATCTTCTCATTGTTATTAAGGACTGCAATTGATCAGTCTCATGTTGGCATATGTGGTCTCGGAGTGAACATCAACTCTGGGATACAGGTACATTCAGCTGAGGAGTCCCTAATAGGACGAAACACGTATCCTGGATTCCACTGCTAGCCACTATCCATCTTTACCTATAGTACTTGTGATTTAAGGCAATATCGAGACAATCGATACAGGATGCATATATGCCAATACAAGACTGATCAATTGTAGTCTTAAATAACAATCGGAAGATACAAGTAAAACAGCACCAAATGAATTTGATATGATCATTCAATACAATTCATTCTTATTATCTCGGTTTCTCTCTCTATTTTATATACTTAGATGTAACAATTTGAACTAGTTTATATTCTTCTTATCAAATGGTAGTTTTTAAGCTTTAAAAGAAAGATTTATAAGATATTAATTTTCATTGTATATTATTTATTCTATAATCAGAACTTTAATGAGATTTACTTTAAATAGTTCCCAAATTTATTGATTAACTTGGATAAATTTATGTAGAATTCGTTAAAATCTAGCATGAAATAAAATGGGATAATTTTTGTTTTAACAGGTTTTTATTTGTTTGTTTTGTTTTACATGTTACCGTAGGAAAAAAAGAAAACAAACCCCTTTAAGTATAGTTTAAGGGAAAATTAGGAGATTCTTATAGTTGACATCATAACTCAAATGAAGCTAGACCATTATTGAAAACCTGGGAGAGTTGGACGGCTATTTTGTTCTAATATGGAACTCCTCAACAGTGAACATCCACAATCTCATCTAATACAATGAAAGATGATCGGCTAATATAGTGGATTGGTTCAATTTACACATCAACACCATTGAATCTTGGCTCAATGATCTAGAGGTTAAGTGTACGCGCGCGTGGCCAAAAGCCGTTTGTTTGAATCCCATGAGCGGGATTGTAGATGCGCTAGTTTTTAATGGTGGTCTAACATCAATCAGTTCATGATCTTAATCAAGAACTTAATAATCTTCAAAACCCAATAGTGATAAATATTACAATCTTGAGTTTTACTATCTAATGAATTTAATTGTTTAATTCCATAGTTCATAGCTTAAACAATTTTAATTCTTTCTTTTATAAACAAAACAAGAATGAAAATTCTATGTATATAAATTATCTACAGATGTAGTCTTCTTTTTCTATACACTTCAAGTGATACTATAGTGAACAGAACAAGAGAGTGGGGACAATCGAATGTATTTCACACACAATTACAGGACTTGTTAATAAAATCTAACAATCATAAAGTATATGCTTAATTTGCAAAATGTCCATCAGTTGTCTCATAATGACTCGGACTTCATTGTTCTTGCATTTTCATAAAAATTGCAACCTGTTTCCATTCTTTACTGTTCGATCCTCTTGTCTCTCTGCTGTCAGACCTTCTGTTCACGATTAACATTATATACTACCTATGTCAATACAAGTAGCACACACCACAATACAACTAAATTTGTTTTTGAAAAGAGTTTGCGTTGATATTATTATTATTATTATTGTTATTACTATTACTACTATTAGCGTTTTCCTGTGGTTCGATAGATCATCAATTATATCTGATATCTATTATCATTTTATTGTATTTATTCCTTTCAAATATCTTCTTCAGTAATTTATCAGATATAAATTAATTATTGTAATAGTGTTAAACTTTAGTTTAGATTGGCTCTTATCCAAGTTCATACAATAAAATATATATACTAGCAAACTATTTGATAATTTAAAGATGATAATCAATTAGATTACTATAAGGTAAATAGATGTTATTTGATATTGTTAACCTTTAAAATTTAACTATCTTCATTATGTATATATATAATGTTTCTTAAGTCATTTGAATTGCATTTAACATTTCTATGTGATACTTTTCAAATGAACAATATAAATATAAACTATGCAAATTACAATTATAGTTTACAGAAATATTTATTTTCAGAACGATGTTTTTTGTAGATATTATAGTTCATGGGTCGATTGGTGTTAGACCACCATAGAAAATATGGAAGCACTGGATGGTCGTTTCGTCCTATTGTGGGACTCCTCAGCAGTGCTTACTCACGATCCCACTCGCGGAATTCAAACCTAGGGCTTTCAGGTACGCGCACGAACACTTAACCTCTAGATCACTGATCCAAGATTTACTGGTGTTAATGTGTAACTTGAACCAATCCACTATATTAAGCAACCATCTTCCATTGTATTAGATGAGATTGTGGATGTTCATTGTTGAAGAGTTCCATATTAGAACGAAATGGCCATGCAAAGCTTTCAGGTTTTCAATGGTGGTTTAACATTGATCAGTTCATGATTTCAATAAAATTCGATTCATGATCTGAACTCAAACTCAGCAGTTGCCACAACCCTACACTGATAATTACAGTTTGTTACTTGAATCCTATTGACTGATATTAGTTTACGTTACTTTATCTACTTTCTGTTACTGTTAAATACTAATATGGATTTATCGAATGAATAAAACTATTAAAAAGTGTAGTCTTCTCATTAGTAACAATAAAACGTCATGAAATGTATGGAGACATGGTAAAAAAAAATGTAAAGTATTTCAGACGTGAGTGAATAAAAGGTAATTAAGTGTTTATTCATCACAAGTAATGATAACTTCAAAGATCTGTTATTAGCATAATTACATATTTGAGACTTTCTCAGCTTTTCAGTCATATATATTTATGTGACAACCCTATGTGAGCAAGTATACTCTATACTACACAATTTGGTCAAATCTGAACTAACTACTTATTGATATATCCAAGCCAATATATCTTATTCTGATATGAATTACATTTTATTGAACAAATGGTGTTTTTATTACTGTTTACATGAATTTTAAACCTTTATTAAAAATTTTTATAGTTGAGATCATGAGTCAATTAAAGATAGACCACCATAGAAAATCTGGAAGTACTGGTCGTTTCGTCCTATTGTGGGACTTCTCAGCAGTGCTCACTCACGATCTCGCTTGCGGGATTTGAACCCAGGGCTTTCGGCCACGCGCGCGAACGCCTAACCTCAAGGATTGGTTGAGGTTAGACATTAGCACCGTTGGATGCCGGCCCAGTGTTCTAAAGCTTATAGCCCTGCATACGAGATCATGAATACGTACTACTGAGGAGTCTCATACTAGGACAAAACTGTCGTCCAGTGCTTCCAGGTCTTCAATGTTGGTCTATCATCAATCGGTTCATAATCTTAATAACAAAATATGATATTTATTATTTATTAATATTTATCCATATTTTCATTGTAGTTTAGTAAGTGAATAATATGAGCCCAATTTTCAGCTGGAGTTCGACTATATAATTAACATTTGAAATCCTGACTAGTCTTGTCATTGGTTATTAATTATCTGTAAAAAAAGTGTTTTTAGACAAAATTATTGACATTGAATTGACCTGTCGGTGGGAGATGTATTCATGTTTTTGTTAACGACTCACATGTTTTCACAAAACAAGTCTTTTTAAATTAAGTCATCTCATCACTGTATAATTTGAAGATAAACTGTTAAACAGCTGAAATTCATGATTATTTATTTAAAGTTAGAATTGCTTTGTCTTCATAATCGGTTTTAAAATTTATCTATTACGTAATATGTTGACTTAAAAATTCATGAATTTTTATTGTTTTATTAAATATTAGGACGTGGAATCGGTGCATTCTTACTTGCTCTAGTTGCTCGTTTAGCTGCAACAATGGTAGCTGTTTTGCCATCAAAGTTAAATATGCGTGAACGTTTGTTTATATCATTTGCGTGGTTACCAAAAGCTACCGTACAAGCAGCTGTTGGACCAGTTGCACTGGATACAGCTAGACAATTGAATTCAAATGCAGAAATAATTGATTGGGGGGAACAGGTGAGTGTTGATTTGCTTCAAAGACTTCTGTTGTTGTAAAACAATTTTCTTATGTAAATGATACTAATCATGTTTTCAGTAGTGCTAAGTTGTAGATTTAATTCCAGGAGTTCAAATGAGAAGTATTGACTAATGGAGTTTAATTATGTAGGGTATGCGAAAAATATTGATAGTTTTAATGGCGTTATAAATGTAAATCAGTAGATAATTGCTCAGTAGTTTAGAGGTTAGGTGCTAGCTGCTAGACCTGAAGGTCCTGAGTTTAATCCATTTTTAGGATCGTGACTGTATAATACTGAATAGTCCTATACTAGGTCGAAACAACAGTTCGATGTCTTTTGGCTTTCGATGGTCGTCTATGCTCAGTTTGTGATGTAAATTATGGTACTCGTGTGTAATATGCTGCTTATTTGACTGTTTCTTTCATTGAATAAAGAAGAGCAGAATTGAATGCCTAGTTATTTCACTCCATGTTTCGGTAATGCAATGAGAAGACGAAATTTATCAGAATTATGTGATATATTTGGGCAATACGTCTCGAACAATCTGATCACACATATACTTGTTAAAAACATTTATATATGAAAATTAAAAGGTCAACTAGACAGGTTAAGGGTAAGTCATAACAAAGGAAAAATAATATTAGAGCACACAAAAACAAATGTGACCACCACTCTGGATAATAAATCAGTATTACAAGGGTAGGTTAGTTGTAAGGACAAATTTTTTGAACACATAAAGGGGGTTTCAATTTCCGTATATCCAAGGCTTCAATAAACTTTAGTATACGTCCTTGAAGGCTTTTGTATAACATTGCAAATACTGATTTGATTTCAACCTTATAACCAGTCTCAATCATATGTTTCGCAGTGGAGGATGATGTCTGTTTATCCTGTGATCTTATTCGACCATTGGAATCCATTTGTTTCTGCAACCATTTTGGTATGTGTTCACCCACCCTTAATTGCAAATCACGATTGCTCCATCATGTTACCAAATCCTTATATTAACTCTTCATGATTTAGTGAAATAAAATCAATGACTTTGTGTTAACTTATATTTAGTAATCTTTATAATTACAATAGTTGGACTCATGAGTCAATTAAAGCTAGACCACCATAGAAAACCTGGAAACATTGGACGATCGTTTCGTATGGGACTCCTCAGCAGTGCGCATCCACGATCCCGCCCCCCGCGAGATTCGAACCCGGGACGAAACGGCCGTCCAGTTCTTCCAGGTTTTCCGTGGTGGTGTAGCTTCATTTGGCTCATGATTTCAACTATTGAAATTACTAAAATCTCCACAAAACCCCTTCTGGTTCTTTCTAATTACATTGAAATTGCTTAACCGTACGAAGAAATAAAAAAAAATATATGTATCTCTTGACACCTCAAGCCTCCAAAATGATCTTTCGGTCTTGAAATAGTTCACTGATTATAATATAAACTATTGATAATTGGATTAACCTAAAAATGATCCATTTTAGCAAAACGATTTGATATAATAATTAGTTACAAAACATTTTGATGTTAGTTTGAATTATACTATTTAAAAGCTTCATTAGAACCATAGTGTGAATACAAAAAAATCTACATAGTGGAAATAAATATTTTCTAATAGTTTATTTTTCGTAGTGGCTGATAAATATTTAATTACGTAAAGGTGGTACGAATAAATCATTCTTTTAAACCGTGTAACTCTTAGAAAAGAGAGCAATGTATGTATGCAAAACTCTGGATTACTTTCAAAATAAAAGAAATCAGTAGGTTTCTTGCACTTAATCATGAATTGCTTGGAAGCAATGTTTATGTATTATATAATAATAGAGTGAGCAATGGAAAGTTTCAGTGTATGGTATTTGACAAGTATGGAGGATTGACTAAGTAATGAATCTTCGTCTATGGAAATGTTTGAAACAGTTATTTTTTCTTAGTCTGAACATCACTTGATTTAGCGCTCAATGTTGGCTGGAGTCGGAGGTAGATTAGAAATTAGATTGGTGGACTAAACTGGGAAATGTGATCAGTCTTCGTATTTATTCCCTATTATTTTGGTCCATATCACAAGATGTAACCTATTCATCCAGAGTTCATTCAGTTATCATGACTAGTGATTGGAAATATTTACAGATCTATTCATTCTTTGTCTACTGATGGATTCTGATTTCCAAAAAAAACCCCATTTTAATACCGTTTTTTTCTCTCTTCTAGAATTATTATTCATTTTGGCTAATCTTGTTTTAGTATCAATAATGAATGATTCTACTACTTCGATATCCATCTTCATAATTTCATATTTCTATGTTTATATAGTGTGACAATTTTAACTGATATACATTTATTACTGAATTATGGGTTATTAGTTGACGTTAATATATTACAGTATTGTCTATAAAATTATGTTATTATTACATTTAGTCATGATTTACTATGTTAGATATATAGATTATGTATATAGTTTTCTTAAATCATCTAAACTATAAGTATTACACTGTAAGTTTAGAAAAAAGAATATGAAACTTCGTGCTATATTTGTTGTGACTTTCAGTCCGTCTAGTTATCACATAATTTATTCGTCAATCGAAATCCGACTTACTCACTCATGTACTGTACTAACCAATAACGTTTGCCAGGTCTGATCTGTCTAACGTCCTTATTGGTCACTTGCTCCCCTAGCCCATCCATTTGAGTCTAGAACATCAATAACAGCTTTCTCCACGCGAATCCTTTATTTCAAACATACTAAGTTTATATGCCAGCCAAACAGACTACATCACACCATAAAATAGGAAATAATATTTATACACAATAAAGCCAAAAAGTGTCTATGAACGTGGGAGACAGTAATTAGTAAACTGGATATAACTTAAGAACAGCAAATTGTATAATAATAAATTATAAGTGAAAATGAAGCTTATAATAAGAGGAATATAAATATACACAATCTAGTTACTGAACAATTATACAATAGGAATACATATATAAAATTAGTCCATTAATAGATCTCAGAGGTTACTCATAATTTAATCATCACTAGAATATAATAATATTTTTGATTATTTTATTTTTTCTTCCTATTTAGGTTGTTACATTGGCTGCAATTTCAATATTAATTACTGCTCCAATAGGTGCTATTTTAATGCCACTTACTGCGCCATATTTATTACGTCAAGATATTCAATCATCACAAGTATTAATAGAACGTACTAATCCTAAACATTCACCTAAATCAAATTCTGCTCAATCCACTGATATAATCAATAAAAAAATACATAAATCTAATCAAAACATTCATCATAGTAATAAATCATCTCAATTAAATACTGTACGTAATACAAAATTATAAATCAATTCAATATATACATGATTATTTCATGTTTACATTTACCTCTTTTCTCTTTTTTTTTGTTTTTGTTTTTGTTTACGATTTAATAGATTTTCTTTTCTTTATTAAAAGAAAAGAAAAGAAATAACTTCACTCACAACTAATTTTTACAATATTACCAAGTAGATATTAGTTAATGATATAAAAGAATAAAATAAAAAAATTACGTTTAATCTATTTCAACTAGAGTTCTCTTTTCTTTTTTTCTTTCTTTTTCTTTTCTTTTTTTTTGATTCATAAAATTTAAAACGTAGCGTTACAATTGATTTGTTTGAAACATACAAACAAACAAACAAACATATTACTCTATAGAATTCTTTTTCTCAGTTTTTATTGTACAGTTCCATCATATTTATTAATGTTCTCTCTCTCTATAGAAACATATCTTATTTAATTTTAATAATCATTTGATAAATTTATATCAGATTCATTCATTTATTCCTTTGTTATGTTCAGTTTAAATTTTGTTCATTGTTTGCATGTTAACATATAGAATATAGTATAGTCATGTAGTAATACAAAATTCATACATATATATATTTATATCTATATGTTGATCAGTATTTGTGATTAAGTTATATGTGATGTATTGTACAGAAGTCTATTAAGTTTATCAGTTGTTAGAAAGATTATTATCAGAATGGGGTTTTGTGGAGATTTTAGTAATTTTATAGTTGAATTCATATATCATTTGAAGTTAGACCATCATGAAAATCTTGGAAGTACTGGATGGTCGTTTCGTTCTAGTATAGGAATCCTTAGCAGGAAACATCCAATGATTGCGTCTCACGAGATTTGAACCCAAGACAGTAGTAGTTGTAATAACTAGATCTACCTGATTCAGTTTAGTGAATTAGTTTGCATTCACTCTTTCAGAAACGTATTTTGATGATTTCTGTTCATAGGTCTTTTTCTATTATTATATAATAATATGAAGTACTTACATAATGAAATCTTAGTCGTTCGTAATCTTGTAAATTCGATTAACAAGTTTAATATCTCAGAAAATATTTTTACTGAGCACCTACCTAAATAATAATTACATACTTGCATACACGATTATGCATAGAATAAGAACGTTGGACTGTAAGATAAATTGGATAAGATACATTAGAAACTAATGATCTTTTCGTAAGCAATGATAGATAGTGGCTAGCAGTGAAATCCAGGATGCGCGTTTCGTCCTATTTGGGACTCGATTACAGTCTTAAACGTCGATGGGAAGATACAAGCCAAACAATACCAAGTGAATTTAATGATCTTTTCATTCACAAATAATCATCATAGAACATGAAAAATAAATGTTTATATTCAACTATATATTACATTTTAAATTGATAAAGTTTAAAATAATTTAGTTGAAATGAAGAATTATTTTAGTAGTGAACATTACCGTTATTTCATGTATTGACGTTATTACTGTTGAAATTGGTTAGTAACATCTGTCTTTAGAAAACAATTGAAGCAATTAACTTTAACACTGAATTGAAGATAAATTAATTAACTTGTATGAAATCATTTTCTTGCTTATAATTCATAAACGTTAAGATAAATAATTCTGACAAACAATTTAATTGATGCTTTCTACTTGTTAATGATAACTTCATGACAAGTGATTATGTAATACAATACTTATGTGTAAATAATCGTTTAAATCAAAACACAAAATGAATACTTTATCAATTAGGAAATATACTTGAATAAATGATAACATATGGTTATTCATCGTATATAATGCGTATATAAGGAAATATGGTAGCTATCCAGATCACTAGTTTCTACATCATTGATTAATCAGATATATTATGAAGTGAATCAGTCAATTATGAAATTATATCAATCAGTGTAAAGAATATGATCTTTATTCATCAACAGAAAACATAAATTATGACATGATGCATTTGAACAAGCCTAAACTGATAACTATCATGTGCTCACTAGTGACTAGTTTACAAAAAGAATTCTTGGAATTTCAGTGTAAAGCCGTGACAAGTGAAGTTCAACTATATCGGGTTTGAGGCAGTTACTCATCGAAGACAATGGAAGTTATCCGTGAGACATCGTGAATTGGTTAAAATCAAACGTTAACACGGTTGGATCTCGGGTCCGTTTACTAGAGATTTAGATTTCCAGTGCGTAGACCAAAAGTCTTGGGTTCGGATTCCGGATGCGGAGTCGTAGATATGCACCTCTGAGAGGTTCCATACTAGAGTGAAACGACTGTTCAGTCCTTCCAAGTTTTTAGTGGTAGTCTAACATTGATCGATACATTATCTCAATATAAACACAACAATCTCCGCAAACATATACTGTCAATTAATGAGGCTGGGACAGCACAGATTTATCATTATATCAAATATGGACCAAACGTAAAATATTACAATGTACTTTGGAATGGTTGTTACAAATAAATATCATATAAATTTATTAATTAGTAAGATGCGACGTGATGTTTGTTTGTATGACATAATGATGATAACATTTAACATGTAATACTTGTTTTTCTCACGTTTAGACCAAAAGAATAGGCTTTTTATAATCATCAAAGGCTTAGGAGAGCCATCTAAAGTTTGTCGACGCATGGCAATTATATCAAATTATGTAAATACAAATTAAGCTTAAAAACAGTTTTTGAAGTATCAAATAAAGATAAGTTTTAGGTTCTCACTATATTCATCCTGATCTGATTTGATTAAGCCTAACAGTAAAGCTAATTCTAAAAATCAGTAAGTCAAGCATAGCAAACTAAGATGATTCTAACTGGTGAGTTTCAAGCACTTAAGATTCATAAACCAATAATAGAATGCTATGCTGAAATTCAGTAGTTGGATTGTTGTTCGAATAACTTTCACTAGATGTTAACTTTAAATGAAGTAAATCAAATCAAGTAACGATATAGTTAATTGAATAATATGAAACAGAAACAAAAGAAAAACTTATTCTGGTACTATGAAGTAGGAAATATAGTTATCAAAGTGAATCAAAATTAATCATTGACAGAATATATATGCACTACTACAATGTGAGACGCATATTTTTGTTATCATAGCTTACATTATAGAAATAAAATCTTGATGGATAATCACGTGCTTACAAATGAGTTACTTCAAGAGGAATTCTTGAAATCTTAATAAGAATTCATAAATAATGAAGTTGTGCCATTTCAGAAGTAAGATAGCCATAAGAAGAGCCTAATAATAATCCGCTTTTTTCACAAGTTGTCCTTAATTTGTGATGTAAAGCAATATCTTCAAACTCAATGCTCTGGCCGTATTCCCCGGAAATCAAAATGTTCTTGGTTTGACCATTCAAGAGTAGTACTGCATAACAAAATAATCATGGATGT